CCCTGACTTGCTATGGTCACCACAGCATCCTTCATGCATCTCTCTCAGCACATATCGACCCTCTTCCTTAGTAACACACCGCAAATGTGGTCCCCCATACGACCGTTTGTAAAGAATACCTCCATGGTCAAAAAACCTCCCCACCACCTTTATCGTTCCTTCTTTCAGCTCCTCCAAGATTGGGGCCCTCCAATCTTCCACTTCTTCGATCTCCGCCACTTCTGTTTCGACCATACTCTTTTCAAGATGCAATAAAGTAACACTTCTGCTTTTACAATCCACCAAGCTCTGAGCGATTTTTGATAGCAGGTCCGCCCGACCATTTTCTCCTCGAGGAATTTGTATCAACTCGAATGAATCGAACTCCTCCTTCAACTTCCTCATCTCATCTACATACTTTTGCATCTGGTCCTCCTTGACTTCAAACCCCTCCTGAAACTGCCCAACCACCAGTTGAGAATCAGAATGCACTTGTACTTTTCGAGGCGGGACTAAATATATAATAATATATATATATATTTTTATAAAAAGTATTTAAATTTTCAACTATTTTTTCTCATTAATTTTAGATTTTAAGAAAGAAATTAGCAAACACTCGTGTAATACACGAGAGTTGTACTAGTAAGGGTATAAAGGTAAATTCTATGAAAAAATAACGACGTCAGCATTAATGTAACGGTGTTAACTGGAAATGGCGAGTATGCATGCAAACATAAAATACAATGGGACGTTAACTGGAAATGGCGAGTATGCATGCAAACATAAAATACAAGGGGCGTTAACTGGAAATGGCAAGTATACATGCAATATAAAATACAAAAGAGTTTGATGCAATTTTTAAAATAGGAGAAAAAAATGTGCAGATTTCAGGGAATTTCGTGCAATAAACCGTTAAAAAGAGTACGCTGTGACCTCTAAAATATAGAAGCTCACTACGGGTAAGATAATTGGTGATGCGCATTCTCTCTCTCTCTCTCTCTCTCTCTCTCTCTCGTACAGCAGCTCTTCTTCCTGTATAGCCTCGAGCTTCCGTAATTTCGAAGACCCTACGGTTATCAATTAACTGTGGATTATATCTAATCTACAGCTCCAGTTTATCAAATTTTCCTACTTTTTGGCTTAATATCTGAAGATGGCTTCGATATTGGCAAGGCTTCCTACCCCAACACTAATGGCGGTCAACGGAAGACAGCCCGTTTTCCGAACACTTGGGAAATCAGCAATGCCTGCAATTAAAGGTAGTACAGTACGTCTTGTCTATTACATTTTCAGTGTAAATCATCGAGTTTGATGCTGTAAAGTGTGTGTGTGCTTGTAGTAATTTTTCTGGTGAAGGAGAGCGAACTTTGCATATTTAAGTATAGCACTGAATGAGCTATAATATGCTTAATTTCGGTAGTTTAAAAGGACCTCCATTACAGTGCATCAGTTGTGTAATCGTATTCGAAAAGGCACAGGTTGATTTTCATGGCTGCTTTAGATTAAGGATCTCAAATCTGTAATCTGATTTGAGAAGACCTAATTTTCTGTTGAGAGTAGATTTAGTAGTTTATTTGAGTATGAGTGTGGTTCTGTCACTTAATTGCTTAGAAGTCATCCCGAAAAATTACTAATTGTGGCCTGAATACAGGGAATCTCAGTTCTCTTTCAGTATAAAAATTCCTGAACTATGTTTCGATTTCCTGTATTGCGTCGTGTTGGGAGAAAGT